GGGAGCTCGGCACGTTGTCCCTGCACTTAGCGCTCTCTGTGCGGTGTCACTTGGAAAATGGAGTCTCCGTGTCTGCAGACATGGAAGAGATCAGGGAGAGCAATGCTGCTGCAGGCAGCTCCTGGGGTCACGCAGCCAGCAGCTTGTCACTGTTCCTCCTGAGCCCGCAGTCACTGTGGCCTTTGCACTGCTCTACATGAGGAAAAGCCCAGCATAGGAGCAGACATTCCCCTTCCTTCCTCCTCACCTCCGCTTTCCTTTCCAGCCATGCACCATGCCCACTATTTCCAGGGCAACAGCGTCCTGACCTGGGACTTTAAGGCAGATGTGAAGATCTCGGTGCCGTGGTTCCTGGGGCTGGCATTTCGGACGCGCCAGCCGGACGGGGTGCTCCTGCAGGCCCATGCTGGCCAGTACACCACGTTGCTGTGCCAGGTAGGGCCATGGCCGGGGCCTCCCAGCGCAGCGGGAGGACTCCAGCCCTCGCAGCGTGGTTGCGGGAGAGGTGTTATCGGAGCAGGATAGAGCCCAGAGCTCCCGGGAGGGGAGCGTGGAGGTGGGCAGAGGTGGCCGGGGTTCTGCTGACTGCTGCTGTTGCTGCTTCCCTCCCTGCAGCTGGCTGGGGGGCTGCTCTCCTTCGTGGTGAGCAGGGGCTCCGGGCGCAGCACCAGCCTTGCCATGGAGCAGCTGCAGCTCAGCGACGGCAAGTGGCACGACCTGCAGCTGGAGCTGCGGGATGTGCGCGGCGGGCGGGACTCGCGCTACGTCATCACCCTCACCCTGGACTTTGGGCTCTACCAGGTGCGAGCGCGGGGGACGCCCGCCCCGGGACAGGGGTGCAGGGATGCTCTGCGGACAGGGGCCTGGTTTTGCCTGCGTGCCCTCAGCGTGGGCTGGCACCCCCAAGCTCACAGGACAGGGGTGATGCCAGTGGCCCCACGTTATTCCCCTTCTTTCTGCAGGACACGGTGGTTGTTGGAAATGAGCTGCATGGTTTGAAGGTGAAACACCTACATGTGGGGGGAATCCTGAGCTCTGGAGAGGTGCAGAACGGGCTGAGGGGCTGCATACAAGTGAGTTTGTTGCTCCGAGCCTGCCCTGTGTAGAGGGGTGGAAATGCAGGTCTCGCAGTTGCTGCCAATGCCCATCCTGTGGGCGACACTCACTCTCTGAGTGTTCTGGGGCCCAAGGTGCTGTGGGGATCTGGGTGCTGGGCTTGGGGAAGGCAGGAGAACATGGGCCTCACGTCTGCCCTGGATTCACTGTGAATTCCGTGAATTCCTCTCCTGTGCTGCAGGGTGTGCGACTCGGTGACAGTGGCAGCGGGACGGCGCTGCCCAAGCCCAGCCATGCCCTGCGCGTGGAGGCGGGCTGCAGCGTGCCCAGCGCCTGCGACTCCAGCCCCTGTCCGGCCAACAGCGTCTGCAAGGACGAGTGGCAGAGCTACTCGTGCGTGTGCCAGCCAGGTAGGGCTCTGCCACCCCTTCTCCCTCCACACGGCTTCTCTCCTGTGGCTGCTCTCCTGCCCCTCTTTTTGGGGAGTTCTGTGCCCAGAAGGCCCCTCTGCTCAGTTGATTCTGTGGAGGACAAACCTCCCGCTGCCCTCTGACTCCATTCCTTGCTGCTCTGGCCCCTCTCGGGGGAGACACTTGCTTTATACAACACTCTGTGTCCGCGTCGCAGGGTACTACGGCGGGGGACGCGGGGGCCGGCGTGTGCAAGAACAAGTCCGTGTGTCGCCGCAAGCCGGGCTCGCCCCTGGGCTACGTGTGCGAGTGTGGAGGGAACTTTTTTGGGCAGTACTGTGAGCACAGGTGAGTCGTGGGGCACAGGGCCATCCCCTGCAATGCCCGGGTCTGTGCCACCTCCCCATCCCAGCCATGTGAGCAGGCACCCTCGGTGCCACCCTGCTCCCTGCGAGCTGCTGGGCAGCTTGGCCAGTGGGAGGCAGAGGCCCAGGGAATTTTGCTTTGTAATGTCACGTTTTTATCTCCATAGGATGGACCAGCAGTGCCCGAAGGGCTGGTGGGGAAACCCCACCTGCGGGCCCTGTAACTGCGACGTGAACAAGGGCTTCGACCCTGACTGCAATAAAACCGACGGGCAGTGCCACTGCAAGGTGAGGGGCAGCTGTGACCCGTCCCCTGCGGCCCCGCTTGTCCTCCCTGCTGTCCACGGCCTGGCAGCTGCCAGGCCCTGCTATGTGCTCCTGGAAGGCCTGGGTGCATCGACCTTGGTCCCTGTCCAGCACACCTGGCCCGAGGAAGTGACAGTGGAGAGTTTGCTAGTGGGGGTCCCTGCAACAAGTCCCTGCTCCCTCGGAGGGGAGCCTGGCACTTCCCCTGCCTCTGTTCCTCGTCTCTGCT